CTTTAAAACCAATTCTCCTTTCACAGAAATGCCTAAATCAAATTTTTTGGTCATGTGCTTACATCATTCTTTTTTGGTACAATTGACCATAACAAAAAGCTGTAAGCTTTTTCTCTTAAATGAAGTTCAATTGTTCGTAACTGATTCAGACCATTTCGCTTCTTCTAAATCTACTTTCATCAAAACTCTCAAAAGGAGAATTTCCACTTTGACTGATAGTATGGCCTCTATCCATCTACAAGTGAAAAAGGAGTTGTCCTAGTAAATGTGCGTATCGATGTCTTATAAGCATGCAGTGCAAAAGATAACTTTTAATGCCAATCCTTTTAAGTATCAGTCATTTTTATTATTATCCTTTCGATAGTTTTATTGGCAGCTTCTACTACCTTATTCATTTTTGGGCGATATAGAGCTGAGTTATGATGTTTCACTTTAAACTTAGCACAAACCTCTGCTAACATCTTGTTATTCAAATTACGAGTATTATTAGAGATAATCTTTTTTGAAAGGCCTTAACAACATATTATCTCCCTTTTATAAATTTATACACCACCGCCCTTGTCACATTAGTATAAAAAACAGCTTCGACCCATTTTGTGAAATGATTAATCATTACAAAGATAAATTGATGCCCATTTCAAGCTTTTGGAGTGATAGGTCCAATCACATCCATTTTTACATGGAAAACAGTCATAGAGGTGCCAAAACATATAAAAAGATTAGAGGAGCATGAATTTTATCTGCATAAATTTGACATTTATAATACTTTCTAGCATAGTTAATGTAGCTACTTTCCATTATTAACCAATAATAGCTTACTCTCATGATTTGTCTAGCCATAATGTGACCATTTGCATGTACTCCATAACTTTCTTCTTGCATTTCTTCAAGTATCTTCTTTGTTTCAATAGAATTTATGCATCTTAATAACATTTAATCTTGACTTTCTTGTACAAAATTTTTCTATTAAGAAAAAATCTAATAGCTAGTTTTATGATAATTTGTTTGTTATTTTTTTATGCATATTTAGGGCATTATTGGTGCTTGACATATTGCATGATGTTGTAGTACCAAGGCAAGCCATCAATCTCCTTTTCAACATTTAAACAATATGCCGATGATATTTGCACATTCAACTTGATAGATTAGATTTTCATTTTATCACTCACTTTAAATATTATAGCCAATGTAGCCAGAGCATCATGCATTTGATTATCTTATTAAGGTACATGATGGAATTAGACCTTCTCAAATTATTTGATCAAATCTATCACATACTTTTGGTATTGTACCAACTTTGAGTCCCTTGTTTTTCATTCACCGCGTAGTTGATAGATTACTAAGGCCAAGTCTCTGTATGCTCCTAACACTCTAATCTTATTTTCAGTTGCCATTTGCAAGCCCATTATGCATGCTTCATATTCTGCCACATTTTTAGTGCAATTAAAATCCAATCTTGTAGTGCTTGGATAGTAATTTTCATTAGGGGATATGAAAACTACTCTAATCCTATGCCTTAAAGCATTTAAAGCCCTATTAAAAAATATTTTCCATGATTTTTCTATTGGTTTCCTTTCCTCTATTTGGGAAATGGTCATTGAATCTTTATCAAGAAAGTCAAACTTCATAGGCTCATATTCATCAGTTGCATGCTTTATAAGGAATTTAGCTATCACACTTCTTTTGATCATCTTTTGAGTAATATATATAATATCGTATTCAGAGAGCGTGACTTGCTATTTTGCTAACCTTTCCAACAATAATAGTTTTTCAAAAATATACCTGAGAGGTCCAATCTTGCTATCAATCAAATAGTATAGTATAGCATATACTGTCTGAGTCTATGGGCTATCTATGCCAATGTATAGCACATTTTCTTCAATTGGAAATATTTGACTTATATTCAGTGACCTTTTTACTCAAGTAATAAACAGCTTGCTCTTTCTTATATGTTTCATCTTATTGGCCCAGCACATCATATAGAATGGTTATATATGGTGAGATACAAAATTAGTGGTTTCCCTACAATGGATGATTCCAATATTGGCAGATTTTACAAGTACTCCTTAATCTTTTCAAAGGTATGCTGACATTTTTCATCCTATTTGCCATGATCATGTTTTTGAAATAACTTAAAAATTGGGTCACATTTAAAAGTAAGTTGAGAAATAAAAATGGGAAATATAATTCAACCTTCCTAGAAAACCTCTTTTTTTTTTACGTACATGGAGGAGATAAGTTCTAGATGGCGAGTATCTTATCCAGATCAACTTCAATGTCCCTCTCACTAACCACAAACCCCAATAATTTTTTCAACTTAGCACCAAACATGCATTTAGTTGGGTTTAGCTTAAGTTGATACTTTAGTAATCTTTCGAACAACTTCATGAGATTGGTAACATGGTCTTCTCTTTCAAAAGATTTTACAATCATATCATCTATATACACCTCTATTTTTTTATGCTTCATGTCATGGAAAATGGTTACCATTGCTCTTTGATAAGTAGCTCTTGCATTCTTCAATCCAAAAGGCATAACCTTATAAGAAAACGTGCTTCATATTATAACAAACAAGATTTTTTCCATATCAAAAGAGGCCATTTTAATTTGGTTATATCATAAAAAACCATCCATGAAAGAGAGTATGGGGTGTTTAGCAATGTTGTCCATGAGAGTGTCAATATGGAGCAAAGAAAAATTGTCTTTCGAGTTGGCCCTATTTAAATCTTTATAGTCCATGCACATCGCTAAACATTTAAGGCTTTTTTTAAGGAAAAATGCCTTAAATGATAAACATTTAAAGTGTTTTTTGAGAAAAAAATGCCTTAAATGATGATTATTTAAGGCGTTTCTATCATTTAAGATGTTTTTTCAACCTAAAATTTATTTGAATAATGATTTATTAAAGGCATTTTTTGAGAAAAAATATCTTAAATGGTCATCATTGAAGGCATTTTTAAAGAAAACGCTTGAAATAATCAACATTTAAGACATTTTTTAAGAAGAAACGCTTTAAATAATGATCCTTTAAGGTGTTTTTTCAACCTAAAATTTATTTGAAGGATGATTTTTGAAGGCATCTTTGGGGAAAATGCCTTAAATGATCATTATTAAAGGTGTTTTAAATAATCAACATTTAAAGCATTTTTTGAAAAGAAATGCCTTAATTAATGATCATTTAAGGTGTTTATTCAACCCAAACGCCTTAAATGATCATCATTTAAGGCATTCTTAAACCTAAAATTTATTTGAATGATGATTTATTGAAAACATTCTTGATACCAAATACCATATATAAATTAATTTTTTTACTAGTAGAAACCTACAATTGACTTGCATTCATTTCTAGACATGCTTTTCAAAATAGTAACAACTATTTTACAATTTTTTAGTCAAGTTAAATTTGAAAATAACTCTACTTTCCCCTCACGAAATCCTAGAATACCACAAAGAGAGGTAGGTTTTTTATTTCGAAACTATGGGTATTATTGAAAATCTATTAATTTTTTCCAGAATCAAATTATCCTGAACCAAATGTTGAAATCATATACCTAATAGTAAAATTTCAGAGAAAAATGTATGGATTTCCTTGAACCAAATGCCCCATTAAGGTTTAAGATTATATTAAACTATATATATTATTGTCATTTATAATCACTTACAACCGTGTCTTGAGATCTATAGAGGTTAAAAACAGATAAGAAGGAAGCTAGCATTAGAATAGGAAAAAGGTTAGAAAAAAATAAAAATAAATAGTATAAAAAAAGTGGAAAATCATAAAAGACTTTTGACTTTTTTTTTTTTATTTTAATTAAAAAATAGAATAGGTGAAGGAAATGAAGTTTCTGGATCCCTTTTCTACATTTTATTTCTTATTTACACATAACAAATTTTCCATGTCCATTTTAGTTTTTCATTTCCACGTCAAAACCATATATAATTATAGTAACTTCCATAAGGCATTACTCAACAATACATGTCAACAGTTCAAACTCCAACAAATGTGCACATAAAGGGTTTTATGCTAAATTCATTCAAAATATAATTGACAAAAATGAATGAGTAATTATACTTTCAAAATGAATGGTAGGAATTTGTTAATGCACATCATCTAGCACATCAAAATATTTTAACTTTTACATACAACAATGCTAACACTTTTGAAGTATTTCTGCATCCTGAGTCATCGGTTACTATAACAACAAATGCCCAGAAACAAGAATAAAATAAAATTTTCATTTTATATACATTATATTTGATTTTAATCTACTTAAATTACACTTACTATATATTGTAACTCACTTTACAATACTCAATTTCACTATATAGAAAATCAAAATGATGACTATTATGATACTCTTGCTTTCATTGCTTGATGACCAACATAAATGTCAATACTCATCCAATCTTGGTAAATAATTATACATATACTATTATCAAATAAAATAACAAAACATACATTCAAAATTTTTATTAACAATTTCTTTTCACATTGTTTTTACAATGTATCCCAAATTATTTCTATAAATATTAGCTGGATAATCATTCTTTTATCACTCTATTAATTCATGAAATAAACAAATCTTGAACTATACATTACAATGCTAAAAACAAATCATTTTTATAAAGATGAAAAAAATTTATCACCAATAACCACTTGATGATAGTAATTACTTTCTATTTATTATGATAACACACAATATTTTTAAAATAATTATTTACCTTAATTATGAATAAATTTTTTGATAATCATTTGTACCTATGAAGTACAAAGTGTTTGATTATGATTTTTATTTAACAATTAACATTTTCTACTTAATTTTACATTTACTTTTTTTTACCAATTATTTTAAAAAACCTTTGTGCACTTGATTATAGTAATTTTATATTAAATTATTACTTCATATTAGCTGTACATTTTAATCTAATTTTTAACTCAATCAAATATTAATTCAATAAAATACTAAAAATCAATATCACATACTGAACGAAATCAAGCAGCCATTACTAGTACCTACAATTTCTTTCATGTCTCAAGCTCTGTCGTTCCAGAAAATACAATTTTTATCATTAATTCATGAATAAATGATAAAAAATTTACGTTTGCGATCCCCGTTTATTATTTTATGTCAGGGTGGAACTTTCCTCGAGCTTTTCGCATGTGTTCTGTTTCTGTCCTGAAAAGTTTTAAAAGATAAGATCTTTGCTCTTCGCAGGATCTCTCTTTCTGTTCCTCTCTTAGATCTCATTGATTCACAAATGAACCCTACGATTCCATTCAAGTTTCCTTCAGTTCCTAATTCCTTATCTCAGATATCTCTCCTTTGATTCAGAATTTCAGATCCCTCTCTTTCCACTTTCCCTTTGTTACTTTTAAATTTTTCTTCCGACAAAAATCTCACGATCCCTCAAACTTTCTCTAATGGTTTCCACTTCCATTCGCTTTCTCTTCATTGCTTCCATTTTCTTCTTCGCTCTATATTCCATTTCTTTTGCTCAGGTATCGTTTATCTCTCTTTTTTTCTACTTTTTTAAAAAAATATTTTAAGAGCTTATTCTTTCAAATCTATGTAAATTATTAAATGTGTTTTTCCCTATTTTTATGATTTGTTAGGAGTCTGGGCTTGAAGGTGAGAAGGAGGAATCCGGTGGGTCAATTAAAGATCTCGGCCGCCGCGGCATGGTCTGCTTTTTTCTTTTCTTTTCCTTTCTTCTCTGTTTGATTATTGAGAAACTTAGAATTTATAGAGTTCACATTGTTTAGTTAGTTATTAGGTGTTTGGTAGTTGGTTTTGCACTAATTCAGTTTCTTTTGCTGTAGAGCAACTGTTTATGAAATAGAGGTAAGTATAAAACTGGGAGTTGGTTAATTCACATGAAAGTGTAAACATTAGCTTCATTTTAAGATTTAATGTTTTAATTTGCAACTTACAATGTTATGTAACGCCTTCATTCTTGGAGTTGTATATTTTATTTTTCGTTAAAGATGTAATTTGTGGTGGTTTTTGGATTATGTTGATGTAATTTCTTGGATACAGATTGTTTCAAAGAATTTTCAGAATGGTGCACTAGACGGGAAGGCTGATATTGGTTCCATGGGAGTTGATCTAGGTTTTGATTCGGCTGGTCTTGGCATCTTCGATGGATTCTTTACAAGTTTGTCCATGATAATTGTTAGTGAGGTTTGTGCATTCAATTCTATTGGTCTTTTTACAAATTTATGTTTGACAATGTGAAATGATAATGGTTTTCCAGATTTTTTACTATAATGTGCTTCAAAGGGAGCTTTTTGCTAACAAACTTGTCTTCTGGCTACTCTGTTACCAACTATTTTGCTTCTGAAATTTATCACATATTTTTGTATTAGTAATACCATTCGGAGGAAATGCTGAATTGGTATGTTGTGAATGTAATGATAGATTGGAGATGAAACGTTTATAATAGCAGCTCTTATGGCTATGCGTCACCCAAAGTCAACTGTTTTATCTGGTGCCCTTGCTGCCCTGATTGTTATGACAGTAAGCCATTTCTTTTTAATCTTTCAAGTCTTTGCTTTAAACCATGAAATGTGTTAGGCCCCTTTTCTTTTATTGTTTCATGGAATACAATGCATTTGCATGGTGCTGTTATTAAATGCTTTTGGCAACATGTACTGCCAAAGATATTTTTGCTAAATTCTTAATGTTATCAATGTTTAAATTTTTTTGTCAATTAGGTACTTTCCACTGGACTAGGTAGGATTGTACCAAATTTGATATCAAGGAAGCACACCAATAGTGCTGCTACTGGTATGTATGATGACTTTCTCTTTTTCTGGTCCTTTCTTCATGTTTCTATACCATCATTTTTCAGATTAGGTTTTTTTGTTCATTTTTTTTTTCACTCGTCATGCTTGCTTTTCTCTTTACGACTTCATTTATGGTCATTTTGTGATAACCATTCGTCCTGATATGCAGTTCTCTATGCGTTTTTTGGGCTTCGGTTACTTTACATTGCTTGGAGATCAGATTCAAAGGCATCACAGAAAAAGGAAATGGAAGAAGTATGTCTCTGGCGTTCTATTTGATATTCATATTTTCTTTTATACGTCCATTTTCGCATATTTGGTTACTAGAGATGCTTCTCACAATGTATAAAAAGAACTGGAATAACGTGATATCTAATTTCGAGGCAGTCTAAATGGTTATACTTGTAAATTTAGTGATTTGGATTACCAAGGTGTCTCCTTTCCCTGTTTTCTACATTGTAAAAGATTGAAAAACTGCCTGTTTCTTTTCAGGGAAGTGCATAGTTTCTTTAAAGGATATTGAACATATATATTCTGTAGATTGTAACCTATCCAGTATCAATAAGTTATACTATATTCAAAGATTGCATCGCATAGCATCTGAAAGTCTTTATTTTTTCTTTATTGTCAACTTTCATATTACCTTCACACTGAATTTGCTTTTGGTTATCTCGCATGTTTAGGTAGAGGAGAAACTTGAAACTGGTCAAGGGAAAGCATCTTATCGCCGCTTCTTCTCCAGATTTTGTACACCAATATTTTTGGAGGTTTTATTTTGTTTCCACATTACTTCTCATCTTAAATATTTATATGTAGTTGATTCTCTCTTTGTTTAAATCATCTATTATCACTGAAGTGTTTTTTTTTTTTTTTATCTCTTTTCTTTCCATGCAGTCATTTATTCTAACATTTCTAGCAGAATGGGGGGATCGAAGCCAAATTGCAACAATTGCTGTGAGATGATTCCTACCCTTGACCTTAAGTTATTTCTGTGATTCTAATATGTCTCTTTGTGATGGTTGCTCATATTTTTGGGTTCTTTTACTTGAGAAGAAGTTTGTAAGGAGCTGACATGTTTTCTTCTCAAAAATTGCAATCATCTCTGTTGCTGTACAAATAATGCTGATAGGTTATTTAGAGGGACAGAAAGACAATTATTTGCTATGGGTACCGAGAGGAATAAATGTCTCTATTTTAAATGATGGTAATATTGTTAATCACCATTAACAATGAGTGTAAAATGATTAAGGATAGCCTTTAAGGGTTGTTGTTGTAAGCTGCAGTACCATGGCTGGTTTTCTCTTTCGTTGAGTGTCCTTTTTACGAGTAATCCTTTTTACGAGTAATCCATCCCCTGCCACTTTCTTATCATTTTATCAGCAGGTTGTGAGGGGGTTTCTCACCTGGTTTACTTGTTACAACCTGTATAACATGAATTTTGTGTTTTAACTGTTTGATCCACATTTACGTTTGTTCATTAATAAGGAGATTGAGCTTTTTCCCCAGTCTGACATGGTTTTGTAATTAAATAAGCTTAATCTCAACCCTCTAAATGCTATATGTGTTTTGTATGATTCTTATCTGGGACAGTTGCATTTAACCTGAGTCGCGTTGTTTATTTTCTTTTCATTGACAAATTTGAATTAATATAAATTTTCATGAGTGATATGCTTAGACTATACAAATTATAAAACTGTGGTTGAAGGTCTTTCCATTTCTTTTTAAGTCAAATTTCTGTTTGAGCAAATAATTTTGAATTGTTTGATATTGTGGCTGTTTTAAACCACAGTTTTGTATGCCGACCACAATGCCAAATTCAGCCTTGGATTTTAGATTTGTGTTTGGCGTAAAACTTTGTGCATGCCGATTAGAACTTCATATTTTAGAAGTCATAGTTTCCTAAACCATGATTTCTGATGCTGCAGCTGGCAACGCATAAAAATGCACTTGGAGTAGCTGTAGGAGCCATAATAGGACACACCATCTGTACATCATTGGCTGTGGTGGGAGGAAGCTTGCTAGCGGCCAAGATCTCACAACGCACTGTCGCTACAATTGGAGGCTTGCTCTTCCTTTGTTTTTCCTTGTCTTCATATTTCTATCCTCCCCTATGATTGTAGGCTAACATGATTCTTTTGGAGCACGCCCCATGCTTTTCACTTCAATTCTTCTTTTTGGTTATATGAACACTGAAAGAGTTTTATACTAACTGGCTGAAAACCAGATAATTGTTCTTGTTCTTCTGTATACATAACTTTAGATATATACTTGGTTTTCCTTAGAGTCCACTCGCAAATATTGGAAATTGATTTTGAAAGCAAAAATTTTGGTGGCTAAATGGCTCATTTGTTGGTTTAATGGTTTTTCTTCCATTATCTCATTCACAAATGTCCCTTTATATATTAAACAATTCTGCCATGCGTCCGCTAACAAGAAATAGTCGATTGGAGCAAAGAGTAATTAAGGGTGTTCATATTAGGCTTTAATATCAATTTAATTCGGTTAATCAATTAGTCTTTGAAATTATTAAATAATTTTGATTCATTATTAAAAATAATTTTAGATAAATTTTAATTTTTCATTAATTCAATTTGATAACCAAATTAATCTGAATTTTAATTGAAATAAAAGAAATTCAGAAACAAAATTAAAGATATATTCAGTCTCATTTTATAAGTTAATTATTATTTAATATTTTAATATTAGAATATTTTGTTAGATAATTTTTGTGGGGGGCATTTAATAGTTAAAAAGCATTGTGGTCTTTTCTTTTATTAAAGGTTACCAACAGATAATTGAGCGCATTTTAGACATTTGAGTCGATTTGATTTGATATGTTCAGTGTCACATCAACTCAATCACGACACTGCTGTCTTATATAGGTCTTTTGCCCTTTACTTATAAATAAAAAAATCTAGGTATTATCCTTCGAGGTTCTATCTTGTTCTAATTCTTTAATTTTCTCTCTCTCTAACCTCTCTTATCTTGATCTCTGATTTGTGCGTCAGAGTGTAAATACAGGGAACACTCTCTGCCTTTGCATCTAATTGTTCTTTTCCTTTTCTTGTCTTTCTAAAAATACTTTCAGGTCTGAGCTCAGCATAAACATTTGGTGCCCTAAGTAGGAGGCTTTCTACTTATTAATCCAACCTAAAATCATGTCGCCTAGGAAATGAGCTATAGAAGAAAGAGAGACGGTTGCCCCAACCGAAATGGAAACACACAATAGTCAACACATAGACCGACCTGCCCCTCAATGGGTTGATCCGACCATGAAATAATTGCAAGTCTTAATTGAATAAGGACAAGCTCTAAAATAAATGTTGTACACCATAATCTCACCCCAAGCTTCAAAAGTACCCAATCTAGTCACCCCTGGCTGACAAGCTGCAGAAAGGCAACCAAACTATGAGGAAATAAAAGCTTCTTCAGCCTCAAAAGAAGAAGAACATGATATTTTGGCTACCCACCCTTACCTTAACCACAATTCTACACATGTCACAACCTAAAAATCGAAACAAACCAACTCAAAACCTCAACTGAATAGAGACTTGCAAGCTCATATGTAAGACATTTAAAAGGAGCTAAAGGGAAAAATAGTTGTTTTTTAGGATAAGCTCAAGTTTTTTAAGAGCTCGCCTTTCACTAAAGAGATTGATAGAGCTATGCCTCTAAAGGGATTCAAAATGTCAACCTTAGAAATTTACGAAGGTACATTTAACCTATTTGACCATTTAAAGCTTAATAGATTTAATATGATGATGTAAGGTACAAATGAAGCTTTGATGTGTAAGGGTTTGGCTATTACCCTCAAGGGCGTAGCTCGATCTTGGTATAGTAGCCTCAAGTCGAGGTCAATCATAACATTTAAAGAGCTTAGCCATTCTTTTTTGTCCTATTTTGTAAGTAGTTGAAGAATAAAGAAAATAACTTTGAGCCTGATGTCAATCCATCAAGGCAAAAATGAATTTTTAAAAGACTATGTTACATGTTTTAACATGGAAGCTCTACAAGTGAAATACCTAGAGTAGATAGTCGATGTAATCGCCCTAACAAGTGGACTTAGTGATAAAAAGTACCATATTAAGCTGACCTTATCCTAAAGCCACCAAAGATGCTAGCTGACATTTTATTTGTGGTCGAGAAATATATAAATGCTAAAGTTACAATGAGAAACAACCAAGGTGATAGAGGGTTATCTCCTCTCTTTTATTATAAAAAAGGCAAAGATTTTTACGATCCTCTTTCAAGAATAAAACGAACAAAATTAAATACCTTCCATGAGAAAGTTCTTATGCAAATTGAAAAAAACCTAAAGCTTAGATGGCCAAAGCCACTGAAACAAAACATGATGAGGGATTCAACCAAAATTTGTGCCTCCATAAGAACATAGGTCATAACACCAAAGACTGTGTTGATTTAAAAAAATGAGATTGAAGCTCTGATAAGAAGAGACTAGCTAGATAGGTTTGTAAATTGATGAAGACAAGGACAGAGTAAGTCAAACTACAAAAGAGGTTACAAATAACCCATAAGAGATAGGAAAGGCAAGCTAGAGGGAAACATGAGAGGAAAAGTTTAGAGGGATAAGCAAAAATATGATGAAGTCGAGCTATCAAAAATAGATCGATTGTTAGGTAATCAATGTGATCACTAAGAGAAGCTCCACCTTTGCCAAAAGGAAGTTTGATCAAGGCATGATCGTGGCCATTGGCTCCTTGTTAAAAAAAGAGAAAGATTAGAGAGATAAACTAATCTCATTCAGTTTGAAAGTTTTAAAAAGGATCCGATACCCTCAGATGATGCTATAGTGATCACGATAGTAATACATAATTATGTGATAAAAAAGATTTTGTTTGATAACGGAAGCTTAATTGATGTCTTATCACTCCATCATGAAAAAGATAGAAATCAAGGAAGACCACCTACAACTGATCACCATAACTCTAATTGAATTTGGAAATAAACAAGTGTTCGTCAAAGGGACTATTAAATTGCCAATCTCGCTAGGAACGAAACTGAAGATAGTGACATCAATCATAGAATTCATAGTCATAGATATCTTATCTGCTTATAACATGATATTAGGCCAATCTAATCAATTTATTATACAGCTCATAAGCTCAGCTCCCTTTAAAAGTAAAGTTTCCAACACCATATAAGGTTAAAAAGGTGACAAGAGACCAATCCACGGCACGGCAATGTTATGTTACAATGATTAAAAAAATTATTGAAAAATAGACTAACATTTCGGCTAAGACAAAAAAAATTGATTAAAAAAAAAAAAGTAATAGAAACCAAAAAGAAATAAGAAAGTAAGTGTAAGCACCCATAACAACAGAAAATCAACCTAAGAGAAGCGCGCTTTTAAGCCATTCTAAGCTCTTAAGCTCTACACTAACAAAAATCATACTTTTCGTAATTTTTATAACTTTTGAATAGATTTTGAAAGTGACTGAACTCTCAAGTTGATGCGAATCCTCACATGTCACTGGGACTGAGCTAATACGCCAGCCAGAAGAAAAATTAAAATGAAAATACATACATTTTGTTCAACTTTACATTCTCATCACTTATTATTTTACTTATTAACAACATACTAACTGTCACATCGTGATCTGTCCCCTTAGAAAATGATTTTGACTTGATTAGGTAGAAAAAAATAATCGATTAAAAACTTAAGGTAAATAAGAACCGATCTAAACTAGCAAAAGACCTTGTGTCTATACCATTATGGAAGAACACATCAGAAAAATATATACAAATTGGAGTTAAACTTGAACATAAAGAGCAATTAATCCAACTCTTAAGAAATAATGCCAACTTGTTTTCCCAGACATCATTCGAGGTACTAAGAATTGACCCCGAACTAACGGTCTATAAGTTGCACACCATTCTGAACATGAAACTAGTTTGACAAAAAAAAAGACTTTTACTCCAAAAGGCAAAAGGCTATTGAGGAAAAGGTCAGAAGCTATTATAGATAGGTTTCATCATTGAGGTTTATTACTTGAATGAATAGCCAATGTAGTCATGTTCAAGAAGCATAGTGAAAAATGGAAAATACGCGTTGATTTTACCAACCTTAACAAAACCTATCCAAAGGATAGTTTTTCCTTTCCCTAGCATAGATCAATTAATGGATGATAGCATTGAATATGGCCTTTATGGATGCTTACTCTGGCTACAACTAAATTAAAACATTAAAGGAAAACGAAGAAAAAATAGCCTTTATCATTGAGAAAAGCCTATATTGTTACAAGGTCATGCCATTCGGTTTGAAAAATGTAAGAATGGTCTACTAGAGATTAGTCAATAAAGTCTTCAAAAATCAGATTAATCAAAACATAGAGGTATACGTAGATGACACGATAGTAAAGAGTAAAAGCCCAATTAAGCACATAAAAGAGTTAAAGGAAACCTTCAATATCTTAAGAAAATACAACAAGAAACTTAATTTGAGCAAATGAACCTTTATAGTCATGTCGGGTAAATTTCTTGACTATATGATTAATAAAAAAGCGATAAAGGTGAACCCAAAAAAGGTTCAAGCCATTTTAAATATGAAGGTACCAACCTCTGTGAAAGAGGTGTAGAGGTTAACTGGAAAGAATAGCTGCTTTGAGCAGGTTCATGTCAAAGTTGGCAGAGCGATGCTTATAATTAATTTTTCAAGATCTTCAAGAACATTTTTGACTTTAAATGGACCCTTTAGTGTCAGAAAGCATTTGATAAGCTTAAAGAGTTTTTTTTTCTCTCCACTCATTCTTTTCAAGTCAAGGTCTGACAAGACATTGTATTTGTATTTGGCTACCATCAACCAGGTTATTAGTTTGGTTTTGATTCAAAAAGAAGAAAGAAGGTAGAAACCAATTTATTTTGTGAGTAAAGCATTAGCAGGGTTGGAGATAAACTATGCCAAGGTAGATAAGCTAGCCCACGCAATTGTTACATTAATAAAAAAACTCAGACTTTACTTTTCATGTGTTAACTGACTAACCGCTCAGGCAAAACTTACAAAAACTAGAGCTATCAAGTAGACTAATCAAGTGGGCAGTAAAACTCATTGAATTCAACTTGCATATACTTTCCAAGATGGCCTTAAATTTTAAGTAGTAGCAAACTTCATTGTAAAATTCATATAAGCTCAAGCCAATTAGTAGCTCAAGAAGACGAGAAAGTTAAAAAAGAGGAAATGTGAAAACTTTTTGTAGATAAATCGACTACTAACCACAATGTGGAGTCAACCTCAGCCTTATTAGCTCGGAAGGCCTGTGATATCAATACACCTTCAAATTAAGATTCAAGGCATCTAACAATCAGGTCAAGTATGAGACATTAGTAGTCAGCCTAAGATTGGTAGTTGAGCTAAATGTAAGGCATATAATTATTTATAGTGATTCTTAATTAGTGGTTAACCAGATAAACGATAAGTTCAAAACAAAAAAAAAGGATAAAAAA